AAAAAAAAAGAAAACTAAACTGCAAGACTCCATGGTCTCAGTACACCAGAGATAATTAATCATGGACCAAGGTAAGTATTCTTTATTGCAACTGTTTTCCTTTCTGATATTACTAAATGAACAGGGAGTATTGAGACTTTTCCTATTGTAACAAATTTCAAGAAAACAAGATATTCCCTCTGTTCTTTCCTGAATGACACACACTTTATCTGACCTTTAAATATTTTTTATGGTTCTCTGCATCCTCTCCAATCAAACCTAGTACTTATTCCTGCGGAACTCCACTAGACACATCTCCATTTAGTGGCCATTCCCACTGAGATGTCAGCTGGCTGGTTTTTAACGTATGCACATTACATACTTTCTTGGTATTGTGTAGTGCTAATACTGAAATCAAAATGTCACGTGGTACCAAATTAAATATTTTATAGCTGGGGTGTCAAACTCATCTAGTTGGAGCCAGCCCACCTGCTGTGTGCGCCCTGGATTTGCAACGCTTGCTGTTTGCACGGCATGTGCCAGCTCCATCCCTAGGTGCTGTATGCAGCATGGACCTGCCCCCGCCTCACATAGAACATGTGGAGCTGGTCCAGGTCATGCACTATGCACAGTGTGCATGAAGCCAGTTTATGGGCCTGATCCAGTCCAGCATGCAGGGCCTGCCTGGCACAAGCACCACATGCAGCCCATGCCCCCGTCCCTGCCCCTGAATTATGTACAGAAACCTGCTTAAGCTCTGTGCAAACTCAGAATGCAACATGCAGAAGCATCAATCACAAGGGAAGACATCTGAGAAACTGCTCCTTACCTGCTATGTTTCCAGGCAGTTCTGATGTCTTTTAGCTTGTTGTTTCTCATGTTGGCAACAGAGAAAATAAAGAGGTATCTGTAGGTATCCACACATTTCCGCAGCTTTAAGAAAGCACGTCAAGCAGTTGCAATGAACAGTGGAAGATTTCCCACTTCACACCAATACACATAATCAGCATAAAGATAATGGGGTAGAAGCAGTATTTAGGATTTTATATACACACTGCTAACTGCCCACCCCCTATTAGGTACTGGTAACGATGCAACTTTTTTTTTTTTTTTAAATGTGAGCTTTCCTCATTTCAACTGTTTAACTGGGAAACTATCAGACTCTGCATTAAACAACTGTATAAACATAGGATTTCCCAAAATATATAAGAGAACCCATAATTTTTTTCGTGGAGTGGATAGAGCAAGCTCTGAGCCTATGTCTCCGCCCCCAAAATCCATTTCATATAAATTCTTCACATTGAGGATGTATCAGATATTCTGAACTTTAATATAAAGTCTTCCCATTGAAGATGTATCAGACATTAAACTGAATCCATAAATACTAAATCGAACCCATACATTAACTCCACAGCGTGGACCCTGGTAGAAGTCAATACCAGGGAAGATGGTAAGGTTGTGTTTCTCTGTAACACACACCAGCTATTCACACCCAGCTCCTCGGATGTGCGCTCTTACCTCTTCTATTAAGTTCTGTTTGGCTTCTAAACCTTTCTTTGTGGTTTTTGTCAAGGAAACTGGGAAAAGAAAAGAAAACCAGTGTCAGTAGGAGCGATAAGCTGGCCGCTGCTTATGTGAAACAGGACTACAAAGCATGACAACGGAAGCACACCACTGGACACAGGGCGCTTAGCAGTCAACCTTATACTGATGTTTTTGATTCAGTCCACCACAGTCTTGTCCTGCTGACCATTCGCAAGGTTTTAGGGGTCAGGGTGTCCCTAGGGCGACATTCAGACATAGGCTGCCCAGGACCCTGGGGTGGCCGTCACAGAGGACAGGCCGGTTGCCCTCCATTGATACGAAACCGGATGCCTTGATGTCCTCTGTTTGTCTCTCAAAGAGAAAAACGTGTTCTCATTCTTCAAGAGAAAAACAGAGGACATCAAGGTGCCGGGGTTTCGTATCAAGAGAGGACAGAGTAGCAAAAAACCGGAAGGTCATCTATGGTGGCTGCCCTAACCCAGACGGAAGGGGGGCCCAAAAACGGTGACAATAATTAGTATCATGATCGTCACTGAAAGGGAAAGTTTGCCGGGAACTGGCTGACAGCGCCTCCCCGAGGTAGGGGCTTTCACGAAGTGCATGGGCGTCTGCAGCACTATGTATGCGGGAAAGCTTTGGCGAGGCTACTGGACTGGTTGTCCGGGGGGCCCCTGACAAACGTCACGCTTATGCCGCAATGAACCCACTGATCTCTTTTTAAAGCATGGCCTGGCCACGCTCCCAATCAAACAAAGCGGGCTACAACGAGAAATAAAAGCCAATGTTGTTCCCCCCGCCCCCTAATATGCGGGTGCCCGGTTCCTAACGCGCTTCACCGCAACGTGTGTGCGGAGCGGCGAGAGACACTCACCCTTCTTGTCGCGCTTGGACTTGGGCATGGCTCGCACGTTGCGGCCTCGCCAGGACCCTTCCGCCGCGAGGGCTGCCGGGAGTTCACCAGGGTTGTCTGCTCAGGTGCCTGCGAGCGGCGCTCGCTTCCGGCGCCGCGGGGGTGGCTGGGATCGCTGCGGACCGTCATGGCGGGCGGCGTGCGCCTGTGGGCGCTGCTGCTGCCGCCGCTGCTGGTGGTGGCCGCCGTGTACGAGGACCAAGTGGGCAAGTTCGATTGGTGCGTGCGGACACGGGACACGGGCTGGGGGGGTCGGGCTTGGACCAGCCACTCCGGGGCACACGGAGAGGGACAATTTCCCAGTGCTTCATTGTCCATTAGTAACCGGCCCTCGCCTCATAACACTCCTCACTGCCACGAGTGGAGGCCGGCACAGTGTGAGGCCCGCGTGGCAGGTTTCACTGCCGTTGTTTTTGGGCTGTTTTCCTTCAACTTAAGCAAACAGTGTAAAGGAAGGACACGCTAGTGTGTCCTTATTATAGAAAAAATAATTTCTTTCCACATGAAAACTTGGCATTTGGTTGAATATAACATTTGAACCCCATTAAGTGTGGTGCATTTAATTCCCCCAGCCCCAGTCAAATCCTTGTGACTGTTGGGACATAAAAAAATTCATTTTATGTCCCAATAGCCACGAGTATTTGAACTGAAATATTCAGTGAGGACAAAAAAGGGTGCGATGGGGTGCTGCACAGTATCAGCGCTGTTAGGGGTGGAAATATGATCTGCAAGGTGAACCCAGGGATTTGGTGCAGGGATTCATAGCGTTAAAAGGATTCCAACCTGTTGTGGTTTTTCTGAGTTCTTTGCAACAAAAGAATTGCTCTACAATTCTCTGTAGTAAAAAAAACAAAACAAAGGAAACCCCAAAACACAGCTTGCATTTTCCAAGGGGTACCTCAAGTCTGTCAAGTCTGAACTGCTGCTCTAGCTCGGTCTGAACTTCTGTAGAATTGGGTTTGACATAGAGTCCTAGGCCGTCAGAGTTCAGCTTCTTTCTGAAGTGATTTTCTCCACCCCCCAACTAAGAAAGAAGTCGGTCTGGTTGCTCTCTGCCAGTCCTCATCAGTGGCATTTGTGATTGCCCTGTCTTTTGTGTTATAGCCATGTACAGGTGCTCCTTGCTTAACATAGTTCTGTTCTTGAAAAATGTGACTTTTAGCGAAGCCAGTTACATCACAGTAGTTACCTAGTAGGAGGAGGCGACCAAACAGTGTTATAACTGAACATTGTACAACTTTAAATAAGTATGTTGCTTAATAGATCAGCAACGTAATAATGAAACAACATTAAGTGAGGAGTACCTGTACTCTAATTTTTATCGTGCTTTTCCTATTCATAGTTTCTAGGGTCGGAAGGGACCTGAACAGATCATCAAGTCGAACCCCCTGCCCTGGGCAGGAACGAGTGCTGGGATCATAATACCCCAGCCAGATAACTATCCAACCTCCTCTTGAAGGTCCCCAAGAAGGGGGTTCGTGCAATACGTTCTTTTTGTTTCTTACACCTTTACTGAATCTTTTCTTCCTTAGGAGACAGCAGTATGTGGGAAAACTCAAGTTTGCCTCTTTGGAAGCCTCGCAAGGCTCCAAGAAGCTTATTGTGGCTACGGAGAAAAACGTGATGGCTGCTTTGAATTCCAGAAATGGGGAAATCTGTGAGTGGAGCATGGCTTTACATGTTAGGCTGTTTACTACCTCACATTGCAACTAGCACATGTGGGACCAAAATTAAGCCATGGTCTACATTCAAATTGAAGAATTACAGCTTGTATCAAAGCTTGCACTTTAACCCTTTTACCATGAATTAGGTGGTAAATGTGAATGAAACATGGCTTTAGCTTTCCTAGAGACAGGAATCTGCATGTTTCTTGCTCTGCATTTGTCAGTTTTATTTTATTTCTTTCATGCCGAGGGGCTTTGTTTCCTATCTTCAAATATCAATTGATTAGATGCTGATATGGCATGTCTGTGCCTTTGCTTATATCTAGACCTGTTCTTAACCAACATAGTAGGACCAAGAACTGAATGGGGCATGACATTTGAACTCCTCTCTTTCATCCCTCAGACTTATTCTTCCAGGTTACAGATGAGGCACTTTTCAGAGGCAATTATGTGAAAGTTTATGTTGGTGTTGCTCATGGTGTACCTGCCCCGTGGTTGAGCAGATGCTGTCAGTCTGTAGCACTGTCACCTGGTACCTTTTATCAGCATGACACTGGAAAGGAGACGGAGGTGATTCTAATGTACGTGGGGGGAGATGGAAGCTTGTTCTTACTTGATGCCTTGTTCCTTTCAGTGTGGCGCCACGTGGATAAAGGGACTCCTGAAGGAGCTATAGATGCCATGCTGATCCACGGACAGGGTAAGCAAAGCATTTGGGCCTTCCAGCATAACAAGTGTTTGGTTTTACAGAATTATAGCTGAGAATTCAATAGAGGGCTAAATGTGCTAGAGCTCGTGGCTTTGATCCTGTGGTGGGGACAGACATTGTTAATGTGTACTTACTTCTTAGCCTTTCCTCTTCTGTGTGGATGAGCATTATTTTTTACTGCTCTGCTCTGTTGGATTTGCTGTGTAGTGCAGGCTAGGACTACAGCTACACAAAATGTTTTTTATGATTTGTGCTCATCCCCCTGGGCCTTTAGTGACAGGAATAAAAGTGACTTACAACACACATCATTGTCTGGAAATTACATTGTGACCACCCTCACTGCTGTGCAGCTGACCAGGTGACAGTTGGGTAACTGCATATGCCAGATGTGTTGTACTGTCCTACTGGTGTGAGTAGAACAGTAATTTGTAGAATCAGCAATGAAATAGTTAACGAAGACAACAGAACAGTAATAGGGTTGTTCTCATCCCAACTCCAGATGCCATTACGGTGTCCAATGGCGGGCGTATTCTGCGTTCCTGGGAGACGAACATTGGAGGACTGAACTGGGAAACATCACTGGACACTGGCAGGTGGGAACTCTTGAGTAGACTGTCAATTCAGAAGGCGAAATTTGCTTTCCCTATAGGTATATTTTAAGGAAAGTAGCTCGAATATTGCTAACGTGACACCTGAGGGATTATTGGCGGGCTGCTGAATTTGCAGGTTGTTGTTAAAAGCAAGTTTCATACTTGATCCTGTAGTAACCTGGTACAGTTTTTTTTTTGTTTTTTTTAATCGACATCAAAATGAGGCTAAAGATTTTGTATCTGGGCTTGTCAGATGCGAGAAGCAATTAAAACCTTGAGTTAGATCAGAGTTTCCTGCTTGTTGATTGAAACTGTGATTGAAATCACTTTGAATTCAGTCCATCGTGTCTATCTCTAGAGAGCTGTCTGTTAAAGTTCTACACTGTCAACTGTACATAATGGAGGGTAGCTGTTTTTTTGGAAAAAATGTTGGTCATAGCTAGTGTGGTGGGGAAGAAGATGACTGTTTTCTGTTACTTCGTGTTTGCTGTGGCTCCAGGAGCTAGGTAGTATCTCTGTGTTCATCACTTCACTCCCTATTTCTGACATGTGCTTAGTTTCCAGATGGCTAGTTTAGTAGGTCTGCAGGATGTGGCAAAGTATGTGGCTGTCCTGAAGAAGTCTGCCCTCTCACTTCATTACCTTTCCAATGGACACCAGAAATGGGTGGAGCATTTACCAGAAAGGTAAAAATCTGAAACAGAGTACTTGAGGATCATGTACAGATCACTGGTTCAGAGCCTATTTTCTGCCATGGTACCTATGTGCTTTTTCAGCTGTGCATGTACGTCATCAACCAAATGGAGGGGGTTTGTTCCTTTTCCTGGCATAGCTTTGTGAACTTATAGATCTCTTGAGAGAGGGACTGTATGAAGAGAGTGTCCATCTGCGTAATATCAGGAGGGAAGGGGCTAGTGCACCAAAATGAATGAGCACATTTCTTTTTGCTGCCTTTTTAGTGCTGGCAGGTTATAAACCATGGGTGTTGTGATTTGTGCATAATACAGTACTTACAGACTTGAGAGAGAAAACACGTAATATCTTAGAGCAGTAGAACAGAAATCAATCAGGAGATGATTTCTCATGCAGAGAAGCAGGAAGCTACTAATAAAAGAACTGTATTAACTAAAGCAAGCCACTTTGCACCATAGCAGCTTCCAGTCAGAATGTCGGGGCCTACTATGTGGGGCACTGGAACATAAAACTGAGGAAAAGGAATTCCTAAGGCACGTTTGTGTCAATGTGAAGAATTTTTCTGGTTTACTACATTTTTGGTGGTTTACCTAGTCTTTCCTTGTGAAACTCATGTCAACATTGAACAGGGCTGTAGAACAGGGAGCTTTAAGCACAGGTTTGGGTGCTGTACAATGTGATTTGTTGCTGCTGCTTTTCTCACAGTGAGAGTGCCCAGTACCAGCTGTTGTATTCCTATGGAACCGGGGTGATATATTCCGTTGGATTTGTTTCTCAAAGCCATTTGAATGTTTTGACCTTCAGCCTGGAGGATGGAGACATTTCAAAACAGGTATATTTTATTGATTCAGGATGGAAACTCTTGTCACCATATTGGCTCTAGAATGGGTCCTGTGTAACAAAAGTGCTCTCATCTTTAGCACAGTAGCTAAGGAAGTTAACTCTGTTGATGATACATGGATAAGATGGTATCCTCTCCCCGTGGAATAGCACAGGGACCCAGAAGTTGAATTTACAAGTGCATGTCTTCAAAGTTTGGTGGACTCATGGCAAAGTTGAGAGCAGTTGGGTTTCGGTATCAGATTGATGACAATTTCTCCTTGAGTTACAGGTTAAAATATCCTTGTTTTAAATATTCCATAAAAATGACACACTCTTGGTTGATAAATGAAATTCTTCTGGTTTTTTTCTGTTGGCTTTTCTTGGTGTAACTAAGACAAGTGTTGACGTGTATGCCAAGCCATGGACCACATGCTATCCAGCAAGATGGAAGCAAATTGACACAGCCAAGTTTCCCCTTGGAATTTCTTTGCAGGTTTGCAAACCTGCTGCATCTTTCTTGCCCAACAGATAAGAGTTTCAGTCCCCTGGATGAAGAGCCTGAGTGGTGCCTGTAATGTCATAGGGGAGGCAGTGCTGGTGTGTGTGGACACCGATACACATTCACTCTATGCTCTATCTCTGGAAACTGAACATGAGATGAAACAAATCCCGCTACAGGTAAGCCACCCTCAAATAGCCTTCCACACACAGCTTACTTGAGGTTCACTTAGCCAATCCAGAGTGGCAGTATCAGGGTTGCCAATTTCAGAAGTGTCCAGTGTGTGTGTGTGTGTGTGTACTGGGGGAGGAGACTTTAATACATACCATAATAATTTGGTGGAGGGAGAAGAGATCACATCCTCTCTATCTAATGGTAGTTTCTGTGACCATGTTTTCAGTTCTTCTACCTTTCCTGTGATGTCTTATCATGGGAACTGGTCCTTCCTGCAGTGTCAGTTGGGAACCTTATAGACACTCCATAGGTTCTCACTATGCCTCTACCGATAGCCTGATGTAGTCTACCTCAATGGTAGGTCATTGGGCCATGGTAGATTCAGAACCACTGGCCGAACCCTTTGTAAAGCTTGGATTGCATGTGGGGAAGGGACGCGTCTGTTCTGGTTGTCTGAATGTTTCAATTTCCACCTTTTTGTTTGTTCCTCCTCCCAGTCACTTGACCTGGAATTTGCTGACAGATTTCACCCAAGGATATTAACCACCCAACCCAGTCCTGTCAGTGTCTCCCGGACTCAATTTTTCCTGCAGCTATCTTCAAGTCGCTTCACATTGCTGCAGTACAAACATGGGCTGCTAAGTCACCTCCGGGACTTCCAGCAGGTAAACAAGGCAAATATTACCATGGAACTGAACTGAAGTTGAAATTTCAGTGGGTTTGAGAGTAGGACTGGCTACGTTCATCAGGAAAACAAGTTCATGTATAAATCGCACATTAAACATTATGAAAAAATACACTGAGTTTCAATTATGCCTTCTACAGCAGCAGTTGAAAACCGTTCTTATCTCACCTATGCTATTTGTTTTTAAAATCAACTTAGGGACATTGCGCTGCTGACGCTTGTAAACATAGAGTAAGTTTACTAATACTAGACTTGGGCTAGGCAAAGAGCCTTAGTACTGTGCGTGCTTGTAGCCACTAGTCCACTGGAACTACCAAGGATTGTAACCTGTTCTAGCTAATTAGAGATAAGGTAAATGCTCAGTGATTGTACTTGGGGTTTGTGAAGAAATCTGTTAGGGTTGTTAGCTCCCTTTCCACTCAAACGCCTCTGCAGTTCAGTTCACTTCACTACAATGGGGACCACTCTTCTTAATTCCTGCTTAGTTTAAGTCTCTGACCATGTTCTTATTTCTGCTCCTTCCATTTTCAGGCAACTTTGGTGAGTTTTGCAACAACTGGGGAGAAGACTGTGGCTGCTGTCCTGACTTGCAGGAATGAAGTGGTTAGTACAACCCAGTTGCACAGGGTACATACCTGAATTCCATGTAGGATCTAGTTGATGCAAGCAAAGTGCAAAAATTATGCAATGTGGACTGCTGAAAGCTGATAAAACTTAGGCAAGCTTAGGCTTCATAGACAGACACAGCTTGAGGTTGGACTCCCTAAGTTTTCCTCTCTGAGGCTGTGACAAGTTGATTTCAAATGACCCTCACTCCCATTTTCTAGGGTTTGTGAGCTCCAAAGTTTCCTTTCATCTCTGGATTAGCTGTGGGAACAGCCAGACTTCGTAGCCTGGATGGAGCCAACTAAATAACTTCTCCCCTCAGCTAATGGGCTAAATATTGTGGTAGTAACTTGTATGGAGCTAGATACAGAAGACTATCGTGCTGCTGTTTTGCTAGGTGTCATTGCAACCTCTTTGTAGGCCTGAGTTAACCAGGAATTCAAACAGGGCAACTCCTTTAAAGAGACAAAGGTACTCATCCTATACATGTAAAATATAATACAAATGTTCTCTCACAGATATTACATAGCTTTCTCCTTTATCAGTATGACTATCATTTGCCCAAGTTTGGCAGAGCTAGGAGAGAGAACTTGCTTTTGTGAAAAATTTAGGATGCTGTGTTCTCCATGCCTTTTTCATGTTTACAAACCCTGTTTCTATTCTCGCATTCATTGCAGAAATCTGCAAGTCCGGATGGCCTTCATACTGGAAACACTTTGGGACATCCCCATACGCCGGTATGGAAATTAGCTCATTCATAGGAGTTAAAGGCATTCTTTGTAATCATTGGTCTGCTCCTCTCTGTTAAGTGTAAGAGGCAGAATGGAGGGAAGGACACTGTTATCCTGGAGAGTAATATTTGTGCAACAGTTTGATTCATTTTCATGCAAAAGCACCTTTGGGCTGTGTATTTCCTGAAACCATTCCACTGGCTGAACACAGTGCCTGCTCTCGGCCTTTAATTTAAGGACTGCTCTTTGGTAGACCCCCATTTCCCATCCTAAAAAGAGAAACTACTTTTTAAATATGGAAGTTTATGTAGAGTTTCCAATGTATTTAGAAGGAGAGAGTGCTACTTAGTACTTGGAGCAGGACACCAGGAAATACGGATTCTATTTTCAGGTTAGCCACTGATTTGCTTAGTGATTTAGCAAAAGTTTTAGAGCCATTTGTGCCTCAGTTTGCCCATTAATTTGATGCCATGTATCCGAGGCACTGAGGCTCAAATGATTGCTTATAAATTACTTTTTAGATCTTTATAGAAGAAAAAACACATTATAAGAACCTGCTCTGGGGTGTGTGGGTTTGGTTCCCACCCCCTGCTGCCTTCCTTTTTTTTTTCTTCTGCAAGTGGGATTAAAATTACAGGAGTTGGTCTCAGGAAATAAAATTGGAACTATGTCTTAAAGCTAATATTACTTGTAGTTTCAGTTACTAACCTCAAACTGGTGTGTGGTGTTATGTGCTGTTAGGCACTTGCTGTGTTCTACTGCAGAAAGCCTGCACTATAGGGTTGGGAAGTAAGTAAGTAGTTTATTCCGAAGCACAGTATGTAATTATCTGTGAGAAAAGGCTGCGTGTAAGTGTAGATTGTGCGCATTTAATTCAGCTTGTTTTTGCATAATGTTCTAGGAATTCCCAGCCTGTTCCAACCACACCTACAATATTAACCTCTATTTGGTTGAAACTGGGCAAAGACTGCTGGAAACCACAATAACCTTCAACTTCGAGCAAAGTGGTGCCAGGCCTGAGCAGGTAAGATGGGGCCTGTCACTGAAAGGGGGGTGGATGGGAGTTTCTCTTGAACTCAGTCATAGATAAACCCTGAGTCTCACTGAAGCCTTTCTGCTGCTGCTCCTTCACTCAAACAGAAAAGACTCTTATCTGAGGCAGCGTGTCCGTTAGATAGGACACTCTTCTGAGAATCAAGGAGAGCTGGATTCTCCTTTTCCCTATAAAACTAACCTATTGTTTGGTCCTGACCAATTTACTTCACTTCCTGTGTGTTAATTTCCACAACTGGAAAATGTGGTTAATTGGATTTATCTACATATGTAAAATGCTAGAAGAAGTAAAGGTGGAAAGTACTGCATGAAATGGTACCTCTTCTTAACTGCCAGGGCTGGATAGAGTTCTTGGGGTCACTGTTAATGAGAAGTATGCAAAACTACATGTACTCGTGCTGCATGTGAGCCAGGTGTAGTGTTAAAGCTTATTTTGGATTTAGATTGGGATCGAAGACTCAGGATGACTTTATAGGCAGAGAGGAGCCTTGAGGTCATGCAGAAGAATATTGCCAACTACAAAAGAGCCGTTGCATTTGCTGACCTGCTCTTTGGTTTTCTTATGTTGATCTCAGCAATTTACGATACCTGAAGGACCATAAGTGCCATATACAACCAGACTGTAGTCTGATCAGCATATAAATTAGCCTTTAGCCTTACAGTAAGCATCTAATGATTGCTTCCAAACCTTAAATAGAACAGAGTGATCTTAAATCCTTTTATTTTGGTCGTACTTTGTGGGTTGAATTGTATATTTCTCATCCAACAGTTGGTTAAAGCCTTCCTTTCCCTTTTCCTTGTAACCCCTCTTCCCAGCTATACATCCAAGTCTTTCTGAAGAAAGATGACTCTGTGGGCTACCGAGCTCTGGTGCAAACAGAAGACCACATGCTTGTGTTCCTCCAGCAGCCAGGTAACTTGGAACCAGGTTGGCTGATTATCCCTTTTCTGCTATGTAGACTCAAGGAACATAGGACTTGGGTTGTGGAATCTAGCCTTGTTGTTGCATGCAGACATGTCTTTTAATTGCTGAAAGTTTGAATGGTGTCAGTTCAGTGATCATTGTAAAAGTTACTTAGCCAAACCCCATGGATGAGAGTGAAGACTAACAATATATTGCCCCCACAACTTCAGTTTTTTTTTATATTACTACAGGTGAGAATCCAGTTACATCACATTCTTGAGGTGGGGAGGACAGGGGAGTCTAGTTGGCTTTACTAAACTTGTCAGGAGTTCACGGTTCTCTCTGCTCAGAACTTACTACAGGATAGTGATCCAAGTCATATCATGGTTATTCTTCAAGGTCCCAGCAAAAAAAGAAGGGACTTTACTTAAGCAAATGATGTTACCCTACAGTTGGGTTTGAAGGTCATCTTAGTGACTTGAATCTCAGGCCTTGCAAGAATGTTTGCGTTTGAACTTCCTAGCTCATATGTAAAGAAAAAAATGGTTTGATGACTTCAGTACTTTCCAGACTCTTCATAGTTCAAGTCATTGGTATGTCCTTTCAGTAATAGCTATAGCTTAATAACATGGTTTTCTTGTCACTGATTAGATATTGCTATATACTACACAGTAAAAATAGATATCTGGGTTGGTTCCAAAATGCAGCATTTTGCATTTTGTGATGAAACACACATTTACCTTTGAGAGCCAGATGGTGAGTATATCAGTCTTGAGTGTTAAGGATAGTTGGCAGTCCATTTTAAGTGGCTAGGTTTGGAAGAGCTGCTTCTGTTCTGTCAGTTTTCTGTGCTGCATTCATTGCTGAGAAGGGAAACACATTTGTGCTTTTCTTTGATTTGCCTATGTTACCTCATCTTTGTATCCTTTCAGGAAAAGTTCTGTGGAGCAGAGAGGAATCGTTGGCAGAAGTAGTAAGCTTGGAGATGGTGGATCTACCCCTGACAGGTGCACAGGCTGAGCTGGAAGGGGAGTTTGGAAAGAAGGCAGGTAATAGCCAAGGCTTCGCTGAGGGGAAAAGTTGAAATTGCTTGAAGGGGTTTAGTTTTACTGTTCTTTTTTTTACCTGTTAGTATAGTTTCAGCATCTTTATCCCTAACATTGGGATTTCACCTCCCAGATTTCCTCTGTAGAAAGTATGAGCAAAGTGAACTGAAATGCACTTGATTTTCAAGGCTTGGAGTGGTCTGTCCAGTTCCCTTATGCAGCTAGATTATGCATGTTCTCTAGCTGTGGTTTCTCTGAACACAGTCTTGTAAGGAATTTCAGCCAGGTGACTCTTTCCAAAACAGTCCTTTTAGTCTCCTTTATTGTCCTACCCTGAAGAGTGAATTGCTAATTGCCTTTTGTTCATTATTTCTTTTCTTGCTGACCTGGATGCAGCCATTCAAGGTAACCTAAATGGTCATGCAGTTCTTTCCTGTCCTTTTTGACAGTCTCTTTTTTGGTGGGTCTTTGTCTTCCTTGTGTTTCTGAGTGCAGAGATGCAGTCTCAGCATGCCCATTAGCTTCAGTTGTGCACTTATGTGAATGGCTAGGGTGAAAAACCCAAGGAAGAGACTGATCTCAAGTCAAGCCTCCTTGTAAAGTATAGAGTGCCTGGGCTATGCACTATGCTGGGGGCAGGGGGTTGGTTTAATGAAGGGGTGGCACTGGGATCAAATATGATTTGCTTATCATGAAGGGTGAAGTAGAGAGTTTTCTTACTGTAGAAATGGCAGCATATGACTTGGACTGTGGCTGTGATTGGCTCTGCTGTGTGTTCATTTCCCCCACTGTGATTATTCCTTTCTACACTAATTGTTGTCACTGACCTGTTTGCAGATGGCTTGCTGGGGATGTTTCTGAAGCGCCTGTCCTCCCAGCTCATCCTGTTGCAGGCCTGGACTGCTCACCTCTGGAAGATGTTCTATGATGCCAGAAAGCCACGGAGCCAAATTAAGAATGAGATCAATATTGACAATTTGGCTAGAGATGAGTTCAACCTGCAAAAAATGATGGTGATGGTGACAGCCTCAGGAAAGGTGAGAGGAGCACGGCTTGGAAAGCTGTTCCTGGAACATAGAAAACAATCTCGGGGAGGGGGCTGGTGGGGGGAATTCAGTGTCTGGGACTCTTGCTAGGGTAGGAAAGGTGTGAGGATACCAGCAGTGTTTTATTGTGGACAAGAAAAAGACATGGGTCTTTCCTCTTCATCATAGTCCAAAGCTCAGTGCAACTTTTGGATGTGAAAGACCTTCTTTTACATCCAAGGCTTTCCTTTTGTCTCTGTCCATCAGCTCTTTGGCATTGAAAGCAGTTCTGGCACCATCCTGTGGAAGCAATACCTGAAGAACGTGAGGCCTGGCTCTTCCTTTAAACTCATGGTTCAGAGAACTACAGCCCACTTCCCACACCCTCCACAATGTACACTGCTTGTTAAAGACAAGGTGAGTCCTTTGCCCCACACTTCACATGGGTCTTAGTTGTACAGAAATGAAATTCCCCCTCACCAGCCTCTACCCTTCAGAAAAGTAGCTTTCACTTATGATTAGACCAAAAAAGAATAGAACAGGCAAGTGATGGGAAGGGAGATGCAGAGAAACACTCTAAGCAGCAAGGCCAAAATATCTGGCTTGCTTTTTAAATGTGTTTGTTCTACATTTTGAGAGAATTTCGCCCTGTGCCTTTGCTAGCTGCATGTAGAAAATAAGAGCCTGTGCACATTAGCTAGATAGAAAAGGCTACCAGTCACCAAGCAGTATGCAACCAGCTAAAGGAAAGGCATCTTCATTTGTGTTGGACAAAGTATGTGCAGGATCCAGTCAGAACTTAATATAACTTATATGGCACAGTGGAATCAGCTGAAAACAGGGAGTTTCAATACCCAGCACTTTCATTTATAGGAAAGGGGCCCAGGGAAGGAAGGCAAGGGCTGTTGGGAGTTAAACTCCAGGTATAAATGGGCCAAACTTGCAGACAGCTTCAGAATCTGGGAAACACCCCAGCTCTTTTCTTTGTTCATGCTTCAGAGTTTTCCATTGCATTGTGTGTTTTAGGAGACCAAGATGAGCTCCCTCTATGTCTTCAACCCCATCTTTGGGAAGCGAAGTCAGGTGGCTCCCCCAGTTCTAAAGCGCCCAATCCTTCAGACTTTGCTTCTGCCCATCATGGATCAAGACTATGCCAAAGTGCTACTTCTGACTGATGATGAATTCAAGGTACTTGCCACTACAAGGCAACTTATTCTCCATCTCCAGGATAAATCTGTCCCCTTGTGGGTCAAGGGATAAAGATGTTATCAAGCTGCAATTCACAAAAGAGATGACACTGTCTCGAGGGGACTTCATAAAGATAGAACTCCATATTAAATCATTTCCTTATCCCTGTAACAAAGAACCCTTTTCTCTGCACTGAGCGGCACAGCACTCTTCACTGCGTTTGGTTATCTCACAGTACAGGGCAAGCTGATCTGTATTCAAAAATGGAATTGTTCTTGCACTTGAAGAACATCAAGAGAATCCATCTAGTCATGTGCTGATTGGCAAACCTCCCTGGTTGTTTAGCCTCGCACCTATGTTTTTAATCTGCATCAAACTGGCTGTCTTTCTTACCAGCCAGCATAGGAGAGTAGTGCCCTCTGCCTTTGTTTTGCTGAATTCCACCTTTTTGTTGAGCAATAAAAGTCAGTGGAATTTACATCTGTGGTGAATCTGATCTAGTGAGTTTCATTGGACTTGATTACTTTTACTTGTAAATTTGTAAACATAGATGTTCACTGAGTTTTCTTTACCTTCTCAGGTTACAGCTTTCCCTGCAACTAAAAATGTCCTCCGCCAGTTAGAAGAAATAGCTCCCTCCATATTTTTTTACTTAGTGGATGCTGATCAGGGCAAGCTCTCTGGATTCAGGCTGCGAAAGGTATGGAAGATTTAAGGTGAACTCTGCATGTGGGTTTTCAGTTCAGGTAGCCAGAAAATGATACAGAACCTAGATTGGCAGCAAGGTGGTTCCTTTGTGTTCCACCAGAGGAATGATACCGACTCTGTTTCGTAAGCAACAACTTTGCCTCAGAGGGTTATCAGTAGGATGGCTCTTTGTAGTGTTTAATTGGATTTTTGATGTGATGAGTGAGTGTTAGAGTTTGTTACTGTCTTCTTCCAGTTCTCCAAAGATTCATAAGGTCTTTGTAAACTCACAATTGCAGAAATGCATTAGTGAAGAATCCAGACTCATCAGTGACTTCTTCCTGTAGGCTGCCAAGATTCGAAAAGAAGGAACAGTTCTTCCATGTTTCTCTATTTTCCTGGTACAAAGCACTGTGGGGCTGAGAGAAAATGAGAGCACAGTTATCCAGACCTTCTTTCCCCTAGAGCCTTAAGACCCTACTGCCTGTTCTGAGAAACTGGCTGTCCTAGACAGAATGCCAGGCCAGAGGGAGCACTGGTTTGATCTGGTGTGGTAAATCCAATGGAATGTTTTAGGAGCACTCCTCATTTGTTATGGAAATGGAGACTGTCTTTGAAGGACGAGATAAAGCCACATGTTGCACCTTGTTTCTATAGGATTTGACGACAGAGGAGAGCTGGGAGATGACCATATCGGCTGAAGTACAGAGGATAGTGACTGTGAAGGGAAAGAGGTCCAATGAGCACGTGCACTCACAGGGCCGTGTGATGGGTGATCGTAGTGTCCTCTACAAGGTACTGCAGACGTGAAAAGTTGTGTCTTGTCACATTTGCCTTGAAGAGAAGCTTTTAAATAAGTGTCTCAAAACTTTTTTGCTCCTCTCCTCTGCTGATCGAGGAACAGAGCTTTGTAAATCAAATACCATTTCTAGGGGCTGAGTTATCACCTGAGATGTGCCAATTGGCGCCCTGCGATGCTAAGTTTGTATGGACATAATGGTGTCCCTAAACTTTTGTAGAAGCTAAGACAAGTTGAATTTGGCATGGGATGTTTTCTTTGTGTGAGTGTTTTCAGAAGGCAGTTAAAGACCACTCACATCTCCAGTGATACCTGGAGAGGATAACAGCTTTCTTAATCACTATCTGTGCTTAATAGTAAAGGGTTTTTTTCCTTGCATCTTTGGCCACAGAGGTCTGCGACCATTTGCGGATACAACAGCTTTTGCAGAAACAAGCATCTCTGTTTCTCTCTTCTCACCATTTTAGTCTTTGAATCCTAACTTGCTCGCAGTGGTGACCGAGAGCACGGATACACATCACGAGCGCACCTTCATTGGAATCTATCTGATTGATGGGGTCACAGGCCGGATCATCCACTCTTCTGTGCAGAAGAAAGCAAAAGGACCTGTCCACATTGTCCATTCAGAAAACTGGGTGGTGGTAAGGACAAGTCAATGCTTTTAATGCTTTGTGTTTCAGAAAGAGAGGCAGTTATCTTCACTGTTGGCATATTTGCTAACCTTGCTCTCACTGATTGCTATCTCTCTGTGTTCACTTGTGCCCTACTGCCTTGCCTGGCTTCCTGATCAGTGTCTTCCCCTTTATTTTAGTACCAATACTGGAACACCAAGGCACGCCGGAATGAGTTCACTGTGTTAGAGCTGTATGAAGGGACGGAGCAGTATAACGCCACAGCCTTCAGCTCCCTCGACCGCCCATTCTTGCCTCAAGTCCTCCAACAGTCCTATATCTTTCCGTCTGCCATCAGTGCCATGGAGGCCACCATCACTGAACGTGGAATCACTAGCCGTCACTTGCTCAGTAAGAATTGCATTAGGACAGGGTGGAGGGTCTGAGTTACCTGCGTGTCAAGTTTTATATGCGAGGAAAAAAACTGTGCAACGTCTAGGGCAGTTATCTGCCATGGTAATTCCTGGGCTTGTTTAAAAGAAAAGTATATATTTAGGTAGCCAGGGCCCTTCATCCTGTATATAAGCTCTCTGTGCTTTATGTATTCTGCCTGGCTGTGCCACGATAGTTCGCTTGCAGGCTGCCTTTAGAACAACATTTGTATGCAGATCTATAATGCAGTTCTGCTCATCCTTATGAGCCTGCTCTTCATGGCTGGCAGGTAATGGTGTCTCCATATTCTGTGGCATGCATCAGGAGGCCAGCTAGATTAGCCCTGCGAGCTCAACAGCAATTCGGTTCTAAGATATACTTCTTTTGATGTACAGTTGGGCTTCCCTCTGGGGCAATTCTTTCGCTTCCGAAGGCTCTGCTGGATCCTCGACGCCCAGAGATCCCTACAGAACAAAGCAGGTAGGAAAAATGCTGGAGCCAGTAACTCCTTTTTCCTCCCCTCACTAAGAATGGATAAATTAAACATGGTAGCCTGGAATGGATTTTTTTTTTTTTTTTTTAAATCCATTCCATCTGGCCAGTTTCACAGTAACTCTTAATCTGAATATAGTGGTTGCTGTCTTCTGGGTAATTGGATTGCATTGCTACCAATCCAGGTTTGAGTAAACTGATGTGTAATACAGATGTCCAGATAGGTTCTAAAAAGCATCTTCTGCCAGCATTCTGGTAATTAGTAGCCCACATAATTAACTGAGGTTCTTAGGATGATACTTCAACTGATACACTCCCAAAGCCTTGAACTGTACAAGGTCTTGCAGCTTAAGAGCCCTAAAATCTAGCTACAGCCAGTTCTTGGCTATCAAGTTTTTCCCCTCTTCCTTCCTTTATCCACCACTGAATGACCCTGCTCAACAATCCTTATAAAGATTCTAGTCTAGTATCACCAGACTTGTAAATCTCAAGTAAGACTGCGAGAGAGTTCCCTCTGTATTGTGTTGAGTTGGATTTTGATCCCCCTCTGTTGTCTTTCAGAGAAGAGAACTTGATTCCCTATTCCCCAGATGTGCAAATCCATGCTGAGAGGTTTATCAACTACAATCAAACTATATCTCGAATGAGAGGGATTTATACAGCCCCTTCAGGTCTGGAGTCTACATGCCTGGTGAGTACAGAACAGGTGTACTTTGTAAAATCTGGCACTGAGGGATCTAAGAGGATAGTTTCAAAACTTCTTGCAAGGAGGAGGCTGTAACTTCAGGCCACATGATAGCTCGTTACTTCGTGGTTTCATGAACTGTATTTTGCTTAATCGCAACCATAGGTATGGGTCTGTCACTGTGTGTTTATATATAACTGGATTTGTGCTTTATGCTGCCCTAACAGCTTATGGTCTCATTTAGGTTGTTGCTTTTGGGCTGGACATCTACCAAACCAGAGTCTACCCGTCCAAGCAGTTTGACGTTCTGAAAGATGATTATGACTACGTGCTGATAAGCAGCGTCCTGTTTGGACTGGTTTTTGCCACTATGATTACAAAGAGACTTGCTCAGGTGAAGCTGCTGAACCGTGCGTGGCGGTAAGCAGACGGGTGAAGGGGACACCGAGACTGGAAAAGAGGCTGACTGGGATTTTGAGTAGCTGATCATCTCCAGGAGCGCACACCATAAATCAGCTTAAATACATGTTACAAAACGCACGGCTGTGAAGGAGGCAGGGATTTATATCACAGTTCTGCTGGGGGAGATTTAAAGGGAGGAGCTGCCAGTAGAGGAAATGTTTAATACCTCTAGGGAGATTTCCTTTCCAGGACAAGACATTTTAATGAGATTAAAAAGATTCATCAGTCAGCCCAAGACGTCACTGAATCAGTCTGGAAAAAGAACCACCTATGACAGTTTTCTTCAAAGCCCCAGAATTTGGTGACTCCATTATTTTTCCAGAAGCACTTTCCCCAACCTTTAACAGAGATTAATGCCAAGATATTAAGGATGTATGTTTTTCCCCTCTAGTTTGGGGTGTACTTCCAGACCACATGATGGCTTGCCTCTTACCTGCCCCCAGACACAACTAAAATCTTGGTAAGAAGGAGGATCCCTTCATTAATACCTGCTGTAGTAAGAAAATCAGAGTTTGTAAATGTGTGAGCTACTGTACGTGGGGCATGAGAAGAGGGGATATTGGGTAAGTTTGCCAGGAGAATATCTAAATGATGCACGCAAATACATGCTAACTGATCAGCTTGTTTAAAGAAATTGCAATGACACAAGGGGGAGTTTGAGGGAAGATACTGGTGAATAAAACTTTTCCATAGCCTTTATTTATTGCAACTGCACCATATGGCCCTTCCTGCTTTTTAGTTTATTAAATGTTTGCACAACACAGACCTCATTGCTTGAATGTTCCTGGGGATATGTTTCTCTGGTTAAAAAAAATATTTTGATGTGTGAGAGCAAACATGAAATGCCAGTTGCCTTGAACTGCATCTGTAAACACCCTGCGTTCACATTGAATAACTAAGTGATAACATGAAACTGGGTTGAAGAATGTTGGGGGGGGGGGTTGTTTTGTTTGTCTGGAGGTTTTTTTTAGAGTGAAGAGACTTGCAATTTATTTTCTTTCCATGTATCATGGATGGTCATTCTTGGCATGAATTTTAATATTCTAATTTTCAAGTTTATAAGTTGTTCTTGGCACAACTTGTTGGAATATTAAAGGTATTTCAACATAGCCCAATGCAGCACTATGCAGAAATACCCAAACGAGCTCAGGTACTAGAAGCAGTGTAGCTTCCTCAATGTAGTGCTCCGTTTGGGCTAATTGTCACTTCCCTAGTATAAGTAGCCTGGGTGGAGTGCCTCACTAATGCAGCTGTACTGTATCTGATAATCAAATAACCTTGGTTAGAAATAGCATTGCTATGGTACTGCACTGTGCTGTACAAACATACCCCAAGTGTTCACACTTACGTTGGGCAGCCTGTGTGCTGAAATGGTTGCAGCTTCAAACACTGAGCCGAAGGGCTTTGCTGCTTTGGAAGGAGCCTGTGTTTGAGGTATGCTGGAGCGGGGTGTAACCAGATGGCCAGTATCTGTAACAAACTTGATTTTGTTTTCAACTGTGAAAGCGGTCTGCAGTTGTGTTGCATTGCCTGGAGGACTGTGGGATCAGCCCTTTGTATCCACGTGCAGGTGATTAAATAAAAGCAGTTTGATCAGTAGCCATGAGAAACATCATGTATTTCTGTGAGAATGCTGTGGTGGTCGGGGTCTGTGGTTTCCCTGTAAGGTGCGTGTCGTTTCCTCGCCCAGGTCACAGTCAGCACTTGTTCAAAAAGGAAACAATAAGACCTTTACCTCCTTCAATATGTGCGTGTGTGTAAAGAATTTTTCCAACTATTTGAGTTGCTCTAACAAGCGATATCAGTTTTACCCAAAGAACCTTGTCTACCAACATGGCTACAAGCTACACCTCTGTGACACACACGTGTGCGTATGTGTGTGTATAATACATATATATACGCACACTTCTGTACAGATAAGTACATATATGTGTGTACATATACATGTGTCTGCAGGTTTAGAAGTGTATGTGCATGTTTATGTGCGTGGCTTCTAGGTGGCTGCTCATTTGAAGGTGTGTGTCTGCAGGTTTACAGGTCTGTATGTATACGCGTGGTCGCGCAAGTGAAGCCCCGGATCCAGACCTATGACGTGGGGCGAGACTAGCCCTTCATCCCCACCTCCCCGGTGATGTAACGGCCGGGCTCTGCCCGCACCGCCAGAATAACAGCGCCCGCTGCGCCTGCGCGGCACGAAAGGCGCAGAGCGTCTCCCGTTCCCGGCGCCGCCAGAATTGCTGAGTCACTGCGCTTGCGCCCCAGCACCACCTCCTCCCCACGCCCTCAGTCATACGCATGAGACGCGCCCGTGCCAGGCGCAGGGCGAGTTGCGTCACTTCCCGTCCGGTTTTCCTTCCCCTCCGGAGGAGGAGGAGGAGGAGGAGGTAGTGGCGGCCACAAGATGGCGGCGTCGGGCGGCGCCGCGGCGGAGCCGGGCTGGGAGGTGGCGGTGCGGCCGCTGCTTTCCGCCTCCTACTCGGCCTTCGAGCTGAAGGAGCTGCCGCAGCTGCTCGCCTCGGTCATCGAGAGGTGGGGCCGGGGCCGGGCGGGCCGCGCTTTCCCCCCCCCCCACTTTCTCTAGACGCAGTCGTCTCGGCCTGTGGCGCTTTCCCTTCCTAGCAGCCAGGGCTTGTTACTGTAAGGGAAGCAGTCCCCGAGCCTCATTTACCTTCAGGAGGGCCCTTTTATGGTTCACTTCACCCCCTTATACTCCTTTTAGTGGTAATTGGTGAAACTAACGAGAAGCCGTCCCTTCCCAGGCATCAGCCCAATGTCAGTTTCATGGTTGTTAAGGGCTGCAAGGGAGCTTGCAGATCATGGGGTCCTGTCCCCCAGCATGGGGCAGGAAAGACACCTGGGATCAAATGACCCCAGCGAGGTGGGTGTCAAGAGGGTTTTTTTTTTTTTTTTTTTTTTTTTTAAAAATCT